AGAGATTTGCTCTGCTCATATGAAGCCAGGATAAATCACACACAAGACTTAAAATGCTATTTTAGTGGAGACTTTATTGTCTTCACAATTTATTGTTTCTTATCTGTGAAATTAAAGTAAATCAAAGCTTTGTTTCCACTGAGGGAAATGGTTTCAGCTTACAGAGACAGACAGGAGGTCTGCGTCACTGTGACACTGTGGAGTTACATTTCTGGGGAGGTGCACGTCAGGCTGCAGTGTAGGGTACAGCGTAGGCTCTACGTTGATGCAGAGGAATAACTTCCACCAGCATGCTGATGTGACAGGATGGCTCTTTCCGTCAGTGTCTGACGCCAGAAGCCACCGACCAAGAGCCGGTGTTTAACGACTTCAGAGTGAGACCGGGTTGTTTCGGCAGAACTAAACTTTAGTCAGACGCACTTCATCCATCCTTCAAAGAGCTGGAGGCGTTTCTCCTTTAATAAAGCAGATATATGAGGCTGGTAGCAAAGCAGCAGAGGTGAATGTTTGATATTCTTACATTGGAAGATGTTCCCTTTATTTCTGTGTGTGAAACCTTTATTTGACCTGACCTGAATGTGGCTGTCATTTATGTTGGAGGAGTGTTTTGCTGCACAGGTGCTTGCTGGGAAGTGCTTCAAGGATCCTGCTCTGTATGCTGCTGCTGACACTAAAACTCCATTAAAACACAGAGGGTAGACTTTTATTAACGCTGCGAGCGTGTTATCTGCCGGCCCTGTTGTCTGGAAGTTCTGTCTGAGTGAGCAGGGGAGCACTTGAGATGCAGGAATGGCCTCTTATTGATCAAAGTGCGGTGAAGTGATACTGGCTGTGTGAGGCGCAGACATCATCCAAGGAGGAGGAAAAAAAACAGGTTGCTGCGTCTCGCTTTCATCTTCAGATCTGAATGTGTCTGAACAGAGCACACTGATCACCAATCACACTCTCTCTGGCTCTGATTCTGACAGTGTGATGGGCTGACCACACATCTCATCACTGAAGTCAATGATGCATTTTATATAGTCTTAATATTGACAGCATTTAGGGCTCAGTTGGCAGAGTGGGGTGGCCATTAATTGTAGAGGTGGTGGTTTGATGCCAGAGCTCCTCTTAACCACGTGTCCTCGAACAAGACACTGAATCAGAGTCCTGCACACGTCCATGTTTGGGTGTCCATAAAATACCCGTCATCATGTCTCAGTCAAAGCTGCACCCATGATCAAACCTCCAAAGGATCCCAACTCCATGTAGGCTGCCACCTCATCCTCGGGCTGCAAAGTGTCATGGCTGGAGTCCTCCACGTATGACAAAAGAAATGTAAATCCCATTAGACACACAAGTCTCTGTCATGATTGTGATGTTACGTAGCTCAGTGAGCAACATCTGAAACAGATTGAGTTTTACAGTAAAACAGTAACGGAGGATTCAAAAAACAAATTGAAATTTCTTGTAGATATAATGAGCTAAAAGACAAATTCTAATCATTTGGGAGAGAGCCATGAGATAAGAGGAAGGATTGTTATGTAAAGAGGACACTGACTCTGCCTGAGATCCTGAGGCAGGAGATCCACAGCTGAGCCAGCCAGACAACAAATACCTGGTCTCCCTCGCAGCCCTGCGGTCCGCTGCAGGAACCTAACAAACCATAACGTGACGTGTAGCCATCATCACATTGTCTCTGCATGCCTGAGCAGGACCACAACCTGGGACTAAACGTGGACATTGCTCATTAGGTGATACTAAATGCAAGTTCCAGTTTCTGTCA